GGACATCCAGCTTCTTAAGCATGGCCATGAAGTTCTCGAACTCTGTCTCCAGCCTGTCTTTGTGCAACCGAGTAGGGAAAGGGAGTTTAGGGACATACTCCTTCACTACTGGTTGCGGTTTAGGTGCAGGCACCTCAACCTCCTTCTCGACTTCTTGTTCAACCACTGGAGATGCTGCAACAGGGCTTTCTCTCTCCGGTTCCCGAGCAGGGGGATCAACAGTCATCTTGCCACTCCTGGTCATGATGGCATTGCAGCGCTCATTCGGGGTCGGCGGGTGAGGAATGGTCTGCGCTGGTAAAGTACCAGGAGCCCTTTGAGCCACTGCCTGGGCCACGCTCCCCAGCTGGGTCTGGATATCCTGCAAAACAGCCTGTGTATTCCTCTGACCAGCTTCCAGAGCCAGGAGTTGACCCGAGGCCTTCTCCATGAACTACTCAAAGGTGTTGAACTTCTGAGCACTGGTACTGGCGAGAGAACCCACCAAGTCCCGCAGTTCAGCCATCTGATCATTCTGCACTAGGGCAGCAGGGGCTGCACCTGGCTGCTGGAATTGCCCCTGTCTGGGCTGATATGGTGGCCTCTAGAAGCCCGGTGGTCCATGTGGAGCTGGTGGTCTGGGATTTGGCCCAGCCCAGGAGAAGTTAGGATGTTGGCGCCACCCCTCATTGTACGTGTTGCTGTAGGGGTCATTGCGCCTGACATTGTTGATGAAGTTCACCTGCTCCTGGGGTGTGGTCGATTCCTTCATCGCCTGGCAGTCTTCCACCATATGATGGGTGCTCTCGCACCACTGGCAGAGCATCGCCTGCTGTTGTCCGTTCCCTGGAATCATCCCGGAACGATCGATAGCTGAGACCAGCTTCGATACTACATGCACCAAATCAGATGACTGGGTGCCCACAGCATGCACACCCCGGCCTGGTGCTCTCCTCGATCTCCTGGCAGTGCCCCAATCATAACCATTCTCCGCCATCTCTTCAAAGAGTTGATTCAGCTGTGGCGGGGTTTTGGTCAGCATGTTCCCGCCACAAACCGAGTCGATCAGCTGCTTGTCCTCCGGGAAGAGGGCGTGATAGAAGGTGCCCACCTTGAACGCATCGTTGAAACCATGATTGGGACACCTGAGGAAAAAACTGTTGTACCTCTCCCATGCATCCCTGATGGTCTCATCCTCATCCTGAGCAAAATGTGTAATTTGCTTCTGCAGGTCAGCTGTCTTGGATGGAGGATGGTAGCGGGTGAGGAACTTGTCCGCCAGGTTGGCGAACGTGGTGATGGAGCCTGGAGGTCGAGTGTCTAGCCACTCCTTGGCCTGCCCCTCCAGAGTGAATGGGAATTACCTCAGCTGGATGGCATCTGCGGGTACCCCATTGATCTTGATTCCATCGATGAGCTCGTGGAATCGCCTGAGATGCGATCGAGGGCACTCTCCCTCCTTACCACGGAACACTACTGAACCGCGCAGCATGGTGATCACAGAGGTGCTCACCTCAAAGTTGTTGGCTGGGACCTGAGGGTGTTGAATGGGGGACCTCATGTCCGCAGCCCTAGCGGTCCAGTAGGATCCCATGGTCTGCTCCCCGAGGATCACATTGTTGTTCTGCGGATCACCCATCTCGCCTTCTTCTTCTTCTTCTTCTCCTAACTGCAGCTGTGTTAGCGCCTCCTCCGCAGCCAGTCGCGCCTTTAGAGCCCGCTTGAAGTTCCTACAAGTTCGTTCAAGCTCCTAGTCTAATGGTAGTAGATCCCCCGACTGGCTACGGGTCATGCACTACCTGCACACAATCAGAAGAGACAACCCGTGAAGGCACACAGGTGGAAGAAATAAAATGCAGTAAATAAAAGCTAGAGTAACAAATTCTCACGTTTCTCCAATAACCTAGAGGGTCCCCGGCAACGGCGCCAAAAACTTGACACACTAAAACACAACACCTAACAATGGCCAAGTGTAACCAATGAAAGGGACTGCAGTAACAGGCAAGTTTAATTATCAACACGGGGTCTAGATCTACTGCTTACTCCGTGATTATCTATTATCTAGCAAACTAAGTCGAGTGATTGTTGTGAAAAGTAAAAGCAACAAGAAAGCAGTAAATTGTTCGGGTTTCTAAAGCAGGCAAGAGTCACTCGGGATTGAGTCCCCCTAGCCCCTTAGTTAGGTTCAATTGCAATTCCCTGGGTTGATTTACTGTTGATTAGACTGCGGAATATCCGACAGTAGCTTGGAATCTCTTAAGCTGACCAAGCCCTCTCAGTCTAACTACCCGGCAGACGACTAGTCTTCACCGGGATAGAAGGCTGAGGCTATGAACACAGAACTCCACTACTGGCGTCAAGAACACCAGTACAAAGCAGTAAACTGGCTAACTCTCGTATAGCCAATCTCCTACTATCGAATGAAGAGGCTCTAACAACCTAATCAGATTCTATCTATCTCAGGTTGCAGCAGAAATTGAGAAAAGCTGATCAGACTCAAATCAATTCATTAAACATGCATCATTCGATTAAAATCAAACAGTAATATCATCCCAAGTCATTACAATCAAATCCCTAACACAAGGAACTAGGGTTCTTCATACCCAAGTGAGAGAAGGGTTCTACTCCATAGAGAGAGAAGAGAAAACAAGAATCGGATTAGTCATACTCATAACGATGAGGATAATCTGCTCCGGGACGATGATTTCCACTCCTATGACGATCTCCGGGCTCGATTCGATGAAATCCAGCTCTTAGACAGCTTCTAGGATGTGTTCTTCGCACTTTCTCTCTCTAGGGCTCTGTTTTTGCTCTGAAAAACACGATTCTCCCACTTTTGGCTCGAATTAGGCTTTAAAACCGACTTTCCCGAGTTGCACGGCCAGGTGCACGGCCGTGCACAACACAATTCTGGCCGTGCACCCTCAAAACGCACCGTTTCACTTATTTGGCCTTCATCCACCTTGCACGGCCAGGCGCACGGCCGTGCAAGCTTCAGGGTCTGGCCGTGCATGGCCTCGACATGAGGTGCACGGCCAAATGGCTCAGGCGCACGGCCGTGCAGCCTCCTGGTCTGCCCGTGCACTCCCCAAAAAGCTCGCCCTTCGTCCGTTCTTCGTCCAATCGACCCCAGACTCGCTCCTAAGCCTTCATTCACGTACTAGGACCTGAAATAACACAAACAAGCACAACCTAGCGTGAAATCGGCCTAAAACACGAGAATCAACACCTCAAACGGTGTAAGTAGGAGGGTAAAAACATGTGTAAATGACGGTCTATCACTCAGCGACTTCTCTCTCTGACCGCTACGACTAATACCCGAGGAAAGCATAGGATACTTATTGAGGTCAAGCGGCTGGAGCGAGAATTGAGATTCTTAGAGGTCAATCGGCTTTCTTTTCTTGTTTGGATTGATTTGGCTTTTATGTTGTCAAGAATTTCCCAAGAACAATGTTCTGTCTTTTGGCTGATTCTATGTTGGGTTGGTCCCAATTTCCCAAGTCCGATTGATAGTGTTGTCTTCATGATTGACTCAAGGTTTCGAATTTGAGCTAACTGTTAGGAATGGTAGCTCAGCCAAAATGGTGATTCTTCCCGAAATTGAGTTGATTAGGATTTCATTGAACACAACTAGAATAGGAATAGTCTGTCCAATTGGCTCCATTCTATAGTTGTTTAGGTTGATTGCTTGCTTGATTCTCAATCCTGAAGTTCATACCAATAGTTATACAGAAACCATACATTGTTGAGGGAGATGGCTGACCTCTTTAATGGGAAAACGATTCCTTGAATTGAGAAATGCATATTGCCCTCGAAATAATCCCTTTGTTTTTTGTGGCTCGCGCCTCTAGTAGGCATTGAATGAATGAAATGAGTGGAGATCTTTCTTCCCCCTTGAAAATTACCAAGCAGACAAAGGCCTTGGAAGTTGGACAACTATGCATAGGTTTCTGAAGTCAGGCGCTTGCCTTTGATGAGTTCTAAATGTGCAAAGTGACAACTTAGGATTTTATGATGTTATTTCTTGAGCTTGTGAACCAGTTACATGCAATAATTAGGAACAAAAATGGGTAATTTTGGTGTTAGGTGGTTGTTAATCTGAAAAATCGCTTGTGTACCATTTGAAGGTCGGTAATTGGAAACTGGCTATGCTTTTTGCTCAAGCAAAGAGATTTCTTAGGCTGGCTGTTGAATAAGTGCTGCAAAAGTTGGTATTTGAATGCAAAGATTTAGCTGCTTAGGGCTTTCAGCTGCTAAATATATGTTTAGTGGTAGTCGGTAGAGGAACTTTGCTGAGTCAAATTAAGGGTTGCAGACGAGTCTCTCGTACCACGGGACTCTATACGTCCAATAATGTTGGATATTTGTCTATTATAAATCTTGTTAGTACGTTACTTCTGTGGTGACTAAACTAACCAAAAGCTTGAAATTTGGCCGACTTTAACTCCACAATGGCTCATGATTGTTCTGTATCAACATATTTACAGGAAGAGCTGGAACTGCTTGATAAGATGGAGAAAGCATCAGCTTCATGCAAGGAGTAAGTCTGAAATCCTGAGTGCACCTTGTTAATTTTATTTTACAAAGATTGATTTTATGGGACATCCATTTCTCCAGTAAGCTTATTGTAGTTTCTTGTTCATGCATCAAATTGCTCAGCAATGTAGAGAGCAGACCTGATCCTCTTATGCAAACGTAAAGCCAACTTCTATACCTCCTCTATTTTTCTTCTCATATTTTTATTATAACCCTTTTCGTTTCTGTATAATGACATTGTGGTATATATAACAGAACAAATGGACCAATAAACCCATCATGGGATCGATGGTTTGAAGGGCCCCCTGAATCCAAAGGCTGTAAGTGCTGGATTCTCTAACCCTCACACTACATTGCTCATTACTGATTCCAGACTCTTTGGACTTCAATTCTTAATTGTTGGTAGAGGATCTAAAAGAATTTTTCAGAGTTGTTCTCAGTGAGAGAGAGAGAGAGAGTTGTTTGATGTTATGCTTCTTCTTTTTGTGCATAATTTATTTAGAGCAGATCTTTAACAAAATGCTTTCATTGGACCAAACAGTAGACCGTGAGAACATTTTTGCCAGTCACTAAAAGTAGAAATATCAAATACAATCAAATGGTGTACACAATCCGGGTAACTCCTTCAACCAGTTTCGTCGTCTAACTTGGCGCCTTCCCAGTAACCTGCTGAGCAATCCATCTGAGGCCATCATACAAGTCCTCACCTATGAGGACACAACATGCATGGATGTGCCAATCGTGATTCTTGATGATATGGAGCGAAAGGGTATATGTTATCTCAGCAGGGGTCATGGCGTCTTTCATGTCTTGTTTGTTTGCAAATACGAGCACAACGGCCTGCTGCAATTCGTCATGACCCAACAGCCGGAAAAGTTCTTCCTTGATGATGGAGATCCTTGCTCTATCAGTGATGTCTATGACTACGATTATGGCATTAGTTCCTCGGTAATACGTTTCCCATGATGTTGTTAGCCTCTCTTGTCCTCCGATGTCCCATACCTGCCTCCGTCATAAAATAATGTACTTTACGTATTATTAATACCATCACCAACCATAAGAAATCATGGCAATGATGACTTGATTAAAAAAAATAAACCAACTTCATGTTATCGATATCAATGAAGGAAATATGGACTTAGGAGAAAACATAGTGTGGTGCTCTCTTTCTTAGAAGAAAAACGTGAACAGTGATCAGATAGAACAGATGACCTGCCAATCAACTAACCCATTCAAAGCTATCACTAAACAAATTCAATGTCTTCATTACATTTTTCTTCCCTAAGGAATTCGTTTTCAAGCAGCACATCTGCCTAATAAGAATAATACAAGTAGAACAACAAAACCACATAAAGCAGACCTAAGACCAACTAAACAAGGTCCAAATGCCTCCATGTTGATGGGCCTACCTTTAAGACTAGGAGGCATGTTTAGATCATTGTATCTTGCAGCCTGATAAAGGTCGGTGATACAAGAAGGAAGATATCTCACACTTCTAGAAACATACTAGTTTAACTGACAGAAAGATGGGGAACATCCAGCAAACGCTGCATGAAAATGGGGAAACTCATCATCCACTTCAATGTGTTGTTGTACAAAAACTAAGTCCAATAAGGAAACACAGAACATGCATCCAATGTTTCCCCCTTAAATCCTGAACAAGAGCCCAATGCTGACTATGCTTTAAGCTCATTAGGAATCCTCTCTGTGTACAATAAACATGTATAGCATATTACAGATCTCATATGGGCCGCCATATCAAATAGTACACTGGGAGGACTTCAAATAGTTCATTGAGCTAGGGAAAGAATAAGACCATCTGGAAGAAAGTTGATATCTAAGGATGTAGATTATGTTTCATCTCGAGTTTTAGGATACTAGGTCTATCCTAGAGAAAATTGTCACAAGCTCAACAAACTAAGGGCAACCAGAAGACCTATATACACAATTATGCAGCATCCTTCAAGTCCTATTATCTAAAAGGAAAGGAAGTCTACAATTAACTTAAACAGCACAATCACTTCCCTAGTTCCCTGTATATGCAACTCCAAATATGCAACCAGATGAGTTCCCATTCACACAAATATGTTCTCATTCCACCCCAACCCAAAAGTCCTAACCAAATGAACTTTCATTTTCCAGGCACAACCTCAAACAGAAGTATAGTTCTTTAACAACAATATACCAACAGTCATGCCAGTAGCGATTCACCAAACACAACAATTGGCACAAAAAAAGTAAAGAATGGACATTGAGAAAGGATTCCAACCTCGAAGCGTAAGTTATTGTAGACAACCTCTTCCACATTGCTACCAATGGTAGGATGGGTAGTCACCACCTCACCCAAGTGCAATTTGTAAAGAGTGGTGGTCTTCCCTGCATTATCCAACCCAACTACCACAATCTTGTACTCCTTTGCAGGAAACAACATGAACCAAATCTAGACATGAATGCTCACATCCTTCTTCCATTTCTTCCTCGTTCTCCTCCTCCTACTACTTCAACAAATCACCATAATTCAGCAAAATTCAATAACCACCAATCCCAGCTCTACAAATGAAAGGCAACCAAGATGAAAAAGACCGCATTAAATCCCACAAAAGGGTAATAATAGTGTTATGAAAATCATCATAACATAAAAAGCATCAGAACCTAGATAAAAACAATCACCAGAGGTGCAAGGATTGGAAATTTCGGATCGAACCTTAGAGCTAGGGATTGAAACCAAAGAGTATGAATCCTAGAGGCAAGCAATCCCGATTCTAGGAAATCATCAGAAGCTGCAGCTGACGATCCAAAGAAAGCAAAAGGTCGAATGAGTAATCGCGTTGGATAGAGAGCAATAAGCTATGCGATCTGACTCTTCCTTTCAACAATAATAACCAGAATAAGAATATGACTTTCACCCCCAAACTAAGTTAAGTCTAAAATTTAGTATTCAATCTTTAAATTCCATGAGAGGAAAGAAAGGAATGGTCAAAGAATGACAACAACCAGAAAGTGGAGGGAGAAACCCGGGCTCATTCGAGCTGCTTCCTGACACACGTTGGTGGGAGAAACCCATAATGCCACAACAATATTGGGCCCCAGCCCATCTTCTTAGACAAATATTCTTTTTTGCTCCAATAAATTGATAGAGGCAGGATCGGGATATGATTAGGGCTACAAATTAGCCAAGTCGCTTGCGAGCAAATCGGCGTTTGAATAAAAAAAACTCGTTCTATACTTGGCTTGTTATTTAACAAGCCTACTCGTTAGTAAATAAATCTGTTTGAGCTTGACCATGCTCAGCTTCATAAGCTTGTGAGCTAGCTTGACCCGGTGGCTTGTTAAACTAAGCTAGCAAGCTGGCTTGTTTAAACCTTGCAGAAGGATTAATACTATTTTGAACATAAACATTATCTTGTTAATACATATGTGTATATAAGTTAACAATTATTGTTAGTTTGCTTTGTTAATGAGCATTTATTCCATCCGAGCTATAAGTTTAACGATTATAAGTTACCGAGTCGAGCTCGAGCTAGATTATTTTTATTCAATCCGAGCATGAGCTTGAGCCGGATTATCAAAATTCAAGTTCGAGCCGACACATGACCTTGGTCGTCCCTCACTTGTGACCGATGGTGAACCTCTCATCACAAGTAAAGCACAGCCCCTGCGCGCAACGGAGCTGTTGTTCCTCCCAGCTGAACCGCTTCCCCGGTCCCGGCCCACGCGCCAGGTTCGAGCCACCCGTCGGCCCTGAGTTGGTCGCTCTCTGTGGTAGCAAGCCACTGCTGTACCATTGGTGCATCGCCGACAAAGCTCTTGGGGATGGCTTCTGCCGTTGCAGCTAGTCATTCTTCATCCGTACGAGGCTAATGGTGCCTCGCAGCATACTCGAATGAAACATCTGAATTTCATTAGCAATTTCGGGACTGAGCCGGAGAAGCTTACATCCGGCTATTGGCTTTTGTCTTATCTGCATCGTCTCGACCAAGACCCGGAATGGGTTCGCCCAAGTATGTGCCAACCATAGCCTGCTGCGTCCAGCCTACACAACGGTTGGCGAGCTTCTCAAACTCCCGCTGGTATTCGCACAATGAGCAGTTTGTCGAATACGCGATAGAGCCTCGTCGCAACTTTCTCCTTCGGTAGGGCCAAATCTCGCCCAACTCATGCGCAAACAGCTTCCACAAAATTTACTCAACTGCGTCCTTATAGGTCCTCTTCAACCACTCCCCCCACCGGTTAGCTTCTCCTTCCAGATGAAAGGAAGCCAACACGACTCGTTGATCCCCCAGCACCTCCTAGTATTCGAAGAATTGCTCAAGACGCGGAAAGCAAACTCTAGGATCATCCCTTGCGAACTTGGGTGACTCTAGCCTGGCCAGCTTGGTAAGGAAGGTAGCACCGCCGCTGCCCCCGCTAGCCCGACCGTGCATCTGCGCCCTCCGATCATCGCCCGCCGCCTTGGTTGCCAAAGCGATGGAGTCCCCAAACGTCTTCACGGGCGAACCGTCCTTCGCGACAGCCTCCATCTCGCCGCGAGCCTCCTCACCGAGGGCCAACTTCCCCTCCCGCCGATCGAACCGCTCCATGAGCACTCAGACCACCTGTAGGACCTCGATGAACTCCGTGCGCATCTCACAAAAAGCAGTACTCAGCTACTCCTCACCGAGCTGCAGAAGCTCGACCGCCGCCTCCAATGTCGAACACCTCTCAGTCACCGTCCCGCCCATGGCTTTGATACCAATTTGATAGAAATGTTATCCACATTCCAAGGGTTTGCTTGTAGCTCACAAGCGGGAGAATGACGTAGAGTGTCGAAAGACTTTTAGGTTTATTATTCGATAACCGGACTAATGTCGAACTTACAATATATAGATGCAAAAACCCTACTCATGACCTAGCTATAGCCGACCCAACCCTTACCCTTCTTATAGCCAGACTCGGCAAACTCACACCCCAGACCTAATTCAACTAATGACCCGACTAATGGCCCTAAGCCCAATACCCTTAACCCCTTCTTACGTGCACCCATCATGCCTCCATCAGAAAACAATGTACTTCGCATATTATTAAACCATCATCGACCATCAATGAAAAAATAAAACAACTTCATGTCATTAATAGCAATTAAGGAACCATGGAGTTAGGAGCAAATATAATGTGGTGCTCTCTTTTTTAAAAGAAAATTGTGTTAAACAAGGATCAGATAGAGCAGAAGACCTGCCAATCAACTAACCCATTCAAAGCTATCACCAAACAAAGTCTATGTCTCTAATACATTTTTCTTACATAAGAAGCAGATTTGACTAACAAGGCTAGAATAGAAGGACAACAAAACTGCAAAAAAGCATACGTAAGACCAACTAAACAAGTTCTAGAATGCCACCATGTTGATGGGGATGCCTTTCAACACTAGGAGGCATGTTTGAATATCCTTGCATCTTGCAGTCTGATAAAGGTCACGATACAAGAAGGAAAAGATCTCACACTTCTACAAAAATACTAGTTGAACTTAATGAAAGACGGGGAACATCCAGCAAACGCTACATGAAAATGGTGAAACTCATCATCTGCTCTAATATGTTGTTGTATAGAAGCTAATGTCTAGTAACAGACATCCAATGTCCCTCTTGTTTACCCCCAACTCATGCACAGCAGCCCGGTGCTGCCAATGTTTTCTAAGCTCAAAAAGACTCTTCTCTATGTGAAATATACACTTATAGCATATTAGAATTCATATGGGCCGCCACATCAAATAGTACACTAGGAGGACTTCGAATAGTTCATTGGGCTAGGGAAAGAATAAGACCATTTAGGAGAAAGTTGATATCTAAGGAAGTAGACCATGTCTCATCTCGAGTTCTAGGATACTGGGTCTTCCTTGGAGAAAATTGTCACAAGCTCAATAAACTAAGGGCAACAAGAAGACCTATATACACAATTATACAAAATTCTTCAAGTCCTGTTATCTAAAACATAAGAAAGTCTACAATTAACTTAAACCGCACAACCACTTCCTTTTATATGCAGCTCCAAATCCGCAACCAAATGAGTTCTTCGTTCAGACAATTATGTTCCCATTCATTCTTCCAAACCCAAAAGTCCTAACAATAAAATTTCACTTTCCAGACACAACCTCAAAGAAACCTATACCAACAGTCACGCCAGAAGTAATTTACCAAACACAGCAATTGGCACCTGTTTCGATGGCGAAACTCGCGTGTCCAATGCGTTCTGTTTTCAAGGAAGCACAAAACACAAAGTTAACACAACCGTCAAATATCCACCGCCGAATGTCGGTGCCGTTGATTTGATCGATAAAACAGAAACAAACACGACCGTTAAATATCCACCGCCGAGTTTCGGGCGATGTTGATTTGATCGATGCACCTTTGACTTCTAACCAAGAGCAACTGTTATTCGGTTCACCACCTCTCCAAACTACGTTCGGACGAGGGTGTTCGACGAATAACCAGAAAACCGAACCAGGAGTGTTCTAAGATACGTTACCTCTACTCCTATGGAGGTTCCTCTGGAGAGCTCCGTGACTACAACTGCGACTATGATGACTACTACGACTCTGCAAAGGAGGTATTTGATAGAGCGGTTCTACGAAACTAGAGAGAAAAATGATAATTCTACGACGGTGCAGTTTGTGATTTGATTTTGCCGTCTTGAGCTTCTCTCTCTTCCTGATGTTTATTACGCAATCTTCTGCCTGTAGTCGTAGTAACTGCCTTCGCGCCTTTGTCTCCCACGTCTTCATTCCTGTCCACCGTGCGGGTAACTTCCTCCTTGTTGCGTGATAATCACGTGTCCCCGAAACCGCTCCGCTACGCAGAAACTTGGCAAAACGACGTTGAGCCAAATCCTACAACCTTGTTCATGCAACGATGATGTCTCACCCCGATAAATGGATTGAATAAACCTCCTGCATTCGTAACGCGTTCTCATCATCCCTGACAATATCATGAACCTCGTGACATAGTTTTTAATCACAAGACGTCGCTCACCAATACCGCGGCATCGCTTTTCACTAATTGATGCCGACCTTGAACTACCCTGTCCTGGTCCCATCAAACAACGTCGTTTTTCATTCCGCGACATTGTTTTCTACCGAACGGTACCGTTTTTCTCGTCTTGCTGTGCCGTTGGGCTTGACGGGCATCACCAAAATCCAACCCGCTATGGTATGGTTTCTAACTAAACGGCATCGCTTAGTAATATCGCGGCGCAGTTGATTCCTTAAGCGGTGTCGTTTTTAGCTAAACAACACCGACTGATTCTACCAGCGACATCGTTTTAATATTAACCGTTTTCGTCCTAACTACTGCGGCATTGTTGGGCTTACTCGCGGTATCGTTTCCTTCCCCAAAACTGCTATGTTTGCTTTTTCTCCGCGACATTATTTTATATTAAACACTGTTGGCACCCATTTTTGTCCGGATTTTCCCAAAAGTAAATAGTGTTGTTCGAACCTAGTTTAAACACTTGAAATTCATCATCCCGTTACAATCCATTTCTATTACAACTTCGGGCTTCCAGCCAATCTGCCACAAAAAATTCTATCTAAAAAAAAAAGAGAAACAGAACCCATCTTTTAAGCCTAGTAGCAGGCCAATTACCCAAACCCCCACCCGGTCGGTTAGGCCATTTCAGTTCACTAGACCAGACCCGCTCCTCCTCTGCCCCTCCATCCTTGCCTCATTTCCTGCAAAAACAGAGATAAGAAATAAGCTCCATACTTGGTGAGTTGTACAAAACAGAGAATTCAATAGGAAGGGAAGAGAAATTGAATCTGAAAGATAGAAAAATTGAATGAGGAGATGGCGTTTAGGTTGCCATTGAAGAGGATATTGTGATACAATGATTTTTGGGTGCTATAAAAGGAGAGGAAAGCAGCAAGGAACGAGGGGGGAGGGGAAATCGACTATGATCCAATCCCTGCTTGCAATTCCAATAGAGAAAACCAACCTCTGCCATTTCTTTCAGCCAACCCAAAAAGCCAACAGAAATCACCAAAAGCCAATCCAAACACGTTTCCACCGAAACATTCTCAGAAAACCAACTACAATTACCCAAAGCTTCGTTCAGCAATTAGAAAGATAAAAACAAAAAATTCATACCAGTGCAAGCAGCGCTGCTCCCACATCGCTTTGTTTCCCTCCGACAGTCACTTCCTTCGCCACAGCTGCTCCGCCGCGTCACCATCACTGCCAGAAGCCATCATTGCTGCTCGCCCCACCTCGTACCGTCGTTGATCCGAGTCCACCGCTGCTGTCGCAAGACATCCCTCACCGTCTATAGGCCTCCCTTGCGCAGCGCCTCTGCCCTCGTCGCCCGCCAGACAACCGCCTGACCTCCCTCGTCACCGAACCGCCAGGCCATCATTGCGCCACCCATCGTCGATCTCCTACGCCATTGCTCCACCTCATCACTGCGGCGGCGCCATGCTGGCCGTCTCGGGTCGAAGAAGAGAGAAGAAGGAGAGTGAAGGGCGGCCGTTGAGAGAAAAGAAAAGGGTGTGGAGATCTGAAGGTTGGGTAAGGTTTTTCATCTCTTAATTCTAAAATTACAAATCAATCCGGTAACCCTAGTTTATTTACAAAAATACCGCAGAAAAAATACATAATTGGTCACCAATATCTTAAGTAATACAGAGGAACCAATCCTTTTCTTCAAATCGCAAAACGTGAAAACAGGATGAGCGATTACCATCTAGCCTAGTAGTATATTTGATGTTTATTGCTACTAAACATACTTAATACAATTTCAAGGTTCCATCCGAATAAAATCACTCTAAGAGTAATTCCTTATTCTTTATTTTATTAGTATTTACAAATTTAAAGCAATTAAAGTTTATAAAATTCATCTTTTACCGATAAAAACTAAATTTTAAATTAGGAACGGATGCGTTCCTTAAATTATTTAACCGTATGATATTTCAATTCAATTCATCAAAATTGTTTTCAATCGAACTACGCGGACTTTGATCCCGAGATGTCGGGTACGTGGGCGGCCGAAAGGTTCATGTCCACACAACTCCGAAAATATTATTTTTATCAAATTATACGATCAAGTCGTTACCGATGGGTACACGATCAAATTGTCAACGAAACCATTTTAAACAAATTACGATCGATGGATCGTTTTCAAATCAATAAACTATTACGTACCAATGGGTACATGATTAACAATCATTTAATCTATCTCAAACAAATTACGATCGATGGATCGTCATCAAGCTAAGAAAACTATTACGTACCGATACTCATTTAAACATCTTCAAGCAAATTACGATCGATGGATCGTCATCAAATTAAACAACTATTACTACCTGATGGGAACGTAAGCAAATGTTTTAAAACAAGTAAACGCCAGGCGAACTACGAGGGCTTTGATCCCGAGATGTCGGGTACGTAGGCGGCCTACAGGTCCAAGTCCACTAATAAAATAAAACCTTTTTTCCATAAATCTCACCAAAAATATTAATTCTTTCTTCCAACGAAAATACATGTTGAAAGGGTGCTAAATCCAAATAATTTCAAACAAGCAAATATCAATCAAGAAGACAAATCAAACTTATAGTACCGATTTAGGGCGATGTAAGGGTGCTAATACCTTCCTTACTCGTAACCGACCCCCGAACCCATAAATCTATTTCGCAGACCGAGCCGAGCCTTAAATCTTAACCGATTTAAGCTTGACTTATCAAGTGTCCAATCCACTTTGAGAGATTGGTGGCGACTACTCTTTTTCGCGCCGCGTCGCGGACGGACCGTTTGCGACAGTTGGCGACTCCGCTGGGGACACAGGTTTAAATTTACCTACGTGGGTCAGGCTATATTGATTTGTCTCCAATTTTATTGTTTGAAAATATTTGCTTATTTATTATCGATATATGATGATGTTCATACATAAGGCTCTATACCCGAGCTAAATCCTTACTAGGACCCTTGGAGGGAGTAGTGTATGCCTTTACGATGGTAAGGGCGCACGAAATCATCCAGCCCGAATTGAACCAAATCTGATACCGCCGAAAGGCTATTAGATGAGGTTACATTTTACTAGCTCAAGGGAGCGACAGTGAAATACAATTTGGGTTCCCTAAAACCATCTGAACCTAGATCCCACCCAATGCATAATTATACTATTGACTGTGTGGTAATTTTTCTTTACCTTGTGAAATCGTTCATGTCTATACTAAATTTGTTCATCTTATTGCATTTCACCCATTCACTTTTTTTTTAGAAAATCAAGCATAATTGCATCTTTTCTCAAGTTATCATCCCATGCATTGTCATATCCATCGATTCCATCATAATAATTTGTCATATGACCAAACGTGTACGTTCCCATAATAATCCTCATTCTCATCTCAAATTTAGTTGCATTAAAACAAGATTTTGAGATGAATAATAAAGGTTATGTGATTTCTAGAAGTTTTCAAAATTGCTCACCGACAAACAAAAAAAACAAAAAATATTTCCTCTCACGTATACTCAAATTGCTCAAAAACTGGACCACAAGGCAGATGTAAGACAAGAAGACGCAGAAGGATTTGGATGAGATTAAAGAGAAGCAAGAAAATGTTGAAAAGCTTTATTATGAAATGGGGGCATCGATATCGTATAAAAGGAAGTTTGAGAAGATTATTCCTTACGTATCCGGAGACATTGCACGACAAATAGAATGGAGGGCAAAATCTACTCACCATCATTTCAAAATTTCCCGGACACAATCTACCTACTATGGTGATCACCTTCTGACAGCGAATCCGCTCCACCCGTTGACCTCATAATCTTGTATCCATATTTTGATTTGGGGCTTTGATTTCCCACTTCTACCGTGACTATAATTATGTGCATAGTAATGGAAAAGATACATGGATAATGATTGCTCAGGGTGCATGACAATCTATAATGACGACGGAGAATGTAGTAGGCGGGTGATCAATGATATTCCTCCTTTGATGCAAAATTATATGAGAATCATAATTTTCCAATCACCACTTTTGTTATTTAAACATAGCAATTGGGAAACTTGCATGAGAATGATGAGTAGCTAGGAAGCCTGTGAGTTTTGTACAGATTCGTTTTCTTTCTTGTGTGCTAGATCCCTTTCTACATGATGATTATGCTTAATGTTTGCACGAGATCGAGTCATGATACCATTAATGAGGAGGATGGAGGCATAGGTGTAGTCCACAACTTAAATGACTACCCATTGAGATTAGCCATGTTTCTTCGGTTACACCATGTTTTCAACCAATCACTGTTCTTTCAAGCCCTTATACTTAAACCCTTTCAAGGTTCCACGCGACGTTTAAAATATGGTATTCTACATTTCGGACGGAAAAAATGAGCTAAGGAGGGATCATATCCAAAAAGCATTGTTCCACAATCAAGATGCTTTGCACTTTTCTTTGCACTCTCATATAAAAAGTAGAAAATATCACACCACAAAAAAGAGAGCTGGTTATCCAATTTCGTACACTTAAATGAGTTGTTTCACAAAGCCCATTGGTTAAGTAAACTCTCAAATCCTCAAATAAGTTATCCTCTCCTTTTCTCAAGCAGAAGTGCGTGATTAAGCATAAAGTCGTGAGTTTTGGAAATAGTGGAACCTTGAACTTTTAGCCATTTGAAACGACTATCCCATGTCCATCACCCTAGCCAATTTTACCTAATTGAAAGTCCTCCGTATAAGTTAATGGTGACCCATTTCATGGAGAATCGGTCAAACTGCAAACATTTGCGAGCTAATTTCATGGTGGAAAGATGGTAGGACGAGCGTATTCAAAATGCAACAACTTTGCATAAATTATTTGTCCTGACCCCACTGGTCGAGTGAAAGTGATTTTTTTACCTATGCTCTAAATCCTGGTGAGGTCCTAATTTGCTCAATTTCTTGTGCCATATTTCGTAGTTGCTATGTTTGAATCATTGAGATACCGAGCAACCAATTAGGTTATCGTAACATTTGGCAAGACGGATTCACAATTTCACTTATCACCAGCATACTATAGTCGAATGTTGCTTGTGGTGATTGTAAGCATCCATGTTGCGCCTTCTCATGCGTCAATTTCAAAGGCCAATTGTGGCACACCTTTTCATACCCCTACAAGTATCGCCAAGGGACTCGAGATATTTGCAAGTAAACAAGGATCATTTCATAGGAGAATCGAAGTTCAAATATGAAAGAGAATGGTTTGATCTGCTACCTACATGATCATATGCACAACCGAAGAATCAACAACGTGCCCGGATAACAAATCTCCGAATCATGTTCAAGCGCCTTCGAATTTAAGTCAAAGTGATGAAATGTCATAGCAAAAATAGTATGTTGTTGTTGGAACACCTACAACCTTACTCATGGAACATGCTATCATAACTGAGGGCAACTGGGGGCAATAATAGAATGATCACCTGTACATACCATCACAACTGGGATAACGAAGAAGTGGCTTCCATTTCAAGAAGCAATAAAAGAGAGCTCCACCACCAAAAGCATAAAAAAGCGATTGATGAATCGCAATACCAATACTGGGGGCAATCGAAATCAAAAGGATCACATCCAGACAAGAGGAGTCACATGGTCCAGTTAAAGAGCAATGGAGAAGAAAAATGAAAAAATAAAAAATAAGAGAGAAGGAAAAATAAAAAATTATTGTTGATGAGCAATCAAGAAAGCTTATAAAAGTAATAAAAATAATTTCTACTTATTTTCTTTTTCTGATATCTTAATATCTCCCGTTTCTTTTTCAATGAAAACAATCATTCATCTCATTATCATACATGTCATAGAGCGCATTTTGCTTCAAACATCAATCTTCGCAAACACATCATCATTCATTACAGTCTAGGATTTGATGTGCATATATCACTCGAGCAAAAAAAAAAAGCTCTCAAAAAATTATTTTTACCCTATATGCCACTCACATCTTCATTTTCTCTCTTTTTCAATAAACGTAAATTCATTCCATTAACATGCATAATTGCATAATTAAGAAAACAAAAAAAACAAAATACATTTTGCATCAGACATTAGGACCTAAACATATTCATCAGCATTCATAATAAAATGAGCTCTCACGTGCATAGTTTGCTTAGGTACTGTGGCAACCGCCCCTCCGAAATTGGGGGATACGACGCGACACGCTCGGAGTCGCCATCGACCGTGCTTTGGGGTGGGTCGAACACCCTTTTCCGGTTTTAATTTTTTGTTAAAACCAGAATTCTGGTCTGCGAATTTTAGGTTTATGGGTTCGGGAGTACGATTACGTGTGGGGAAGTGTATTCACACCCCCACAACGCCCCAAATGGGTACTACTTAAATCGATAATTTTTTTTAAGAATTTGGTGTATTATTATTTGCGGATTTCTTGATGTATTTAATTTATGATTTGATTTTTTTTAAATTAAATGTGAATTTTAGAGTCCCATAGGACGATGTGATTGGTGTAAACTTGAATTTGAAGTTACACGTTTTCACGTCTATTGACGTAAAAAGGTTTTTTAGATTGGTTGGACTCGAACCTATCGGTTGCCTACGTACCCGGGTTAACCGGGATCAAAGTCCACGTAGTTCGAATAAAAGGAAAAAATTTGAAGTGATCTTTACACGTTCTATTGATCGTGGCTAAGATGATAATTGAGTTGTTACGAAATGTATTTATGATGTTTCAATTTAGTGATTGAGTGATAAATGACCCTTGAAAGGGTTTCACCGTGACGATTATCGCGGTCTATCGACTATGATTTTTTTTTTAATAATAGTTGTTTAGGAAAAATATGTATTTTGACTTAACAAAATCAGGCATCTTCTAATTATTGAATTTGAGATACCTTTGGGTATTAGTAGTAATTGAATTAATTTTAAACTAAAGATTCGATCACGTTTAAATTTTACGTATTAAAGATGTCAAAGAGTTAAAATCCAAAGAGATTGTTAAGATTTTTATTCGTTAGGGATCAGCCTACTGGTTTAAGCTGTTGTGTTTGGCAATTTGCGAATAAAAGGTTAAGGTTTGAACCTCTTGTTTGAAGAGAATGACGAGGGTTAGGCCCAGAAAAAAAAAACTTAGCCGCTCGGTATTCCCCCTCCACTCGTATCTCTCTTCATCCCCTCTCATCTCCTCCTCCATTTTTGTTCTGAGACCCGAGATAAAAAAAAACCAAGACCAAAACTCAAACCGCTGGTCTTCTCTCGTTCTAACCCCTTCCTTTTCTTGTTCGATCTACCCTCCTCTCTTCTCCTCCAGAAACGACGACTAATAAAAAGGAAAAAAAATGGAAGGCGGCAGCGTCAAAGGAAACGACGGTGATTGACGACGATGGAGATGGCAAAGACGCTAAAGGAGGTTAAAGGTCAGTTGTCATCCACTTGCATGTCAATTTCCGGATTTGATTACGATTTGGGTAAACTTTGGGTTCTGAAGTCTTTGATTTTTGTTTCGTTTTGGGTTTTATTCTCGATCGAGGGAAGGGAGAACGAGGTCGCAGCGAAAGAATTACCGGCGATGGACGCGGCGGCGGCGGTTCTGGGTACCACCGGCGTTGAGGGTAAGAGGGTTTTTTTTTTGCTTGCATGTCGTATTTTGAGGTTCGGTTTTGTTTATGGGGTATTTAGGGTTCCGATTGATTTTCTGGTTTCTTTTATTGCGAGGAAGGGAAAGGGGAAAGCGAACAGAGGAGGAAGTGAGGTCACCGCCGGCGAGCACTGGCGGTGTCGCCGACGGCTGATGTGGCGGAGGCAGACAATGACCTACTAATCGTATTTCATTTTTGGATTATCTTGTTTGCTTGGTGGATTCTAATTGAAATTTTCTTTTTGCAGGTTCGAGAACTAGAATAAATTGGCTACCGATTCTATGGTTTGATTTAAATTCAGTGTTGATGATATAGAGTTTTACTTGATTGCTGGCTTCTTGATCGGGTAATTGTTGATGATTTACAATAGTACGCTTGATTTAGTGTTTTGATTCTGCTTCAGCATGAATTGAGGTTGTGGTTCAATTTTGAAAATTTGGTGGTGTTTATGACTGGGTTTGCTGCTGGAAATTCATATTGATGGGGTGCAATTTTGGAGATCTGTGTGTTGGTTTTTGCTTTAAGATTGTGTTTGTTGTTAGTGTGTAAGGTTATAAACAAGAGCAGGTTTATAGTTTTTTTTAGAAGAGAACAGGTTCATAGTTAGAGAGGTAACTTTGGGTGAGTTTATAAACGAAGAGTTGATTTAATTTGGTTGTTAATCCTAGTTTATAAAATCTGATTTGGTAGCTTAGGGTGAGTAGTTTAGCTAGGTACGTGGGGGATAGTATGCTTAACACAAAGAAAGAGAAGCAGCTGGTAAGGCAAACATTAACATAGTTAAATATATAGGTCTGGTTTGAACAGAAACATTAACAACATAGCTTAATATATGTAGTTCTAGTTTTGTTTATAATACACAAAATAAACTTTAAACATATATCCCATATATATATACATACATATGCATATGCAGCCGAATGGTTTTGTTGATTACTTTGTGATTAGCTTGTAATTTGTTTGAATACTGGTTAGGGGCTTGATAGTCGTGGTTGTGGGGACTGTTAAGGCTGGAATCATGGTGTGTTCGTATAATGGTTTGGGGTTTAAAAGGGTGTCATTAAAACAAAACAAAAGAAAGGTATTCAGAATACCTCTCTGAGTTTGAGTCTAGTTGGTTTAGATTAACATGTTGGGTTTGATTCTGAGAATCGGTGTATTGGTTTTAAAATTGGAAGTTTGATACTAATTGCGTGGGTTTGATTATGTGAGGGTAACCGGGTTTTGATATTGAAATTATGTGTTTTTTTTTATGATGGATTATGGTAAATAAATATACAAAGCGATTAAAGCAAGAAAGGAAACAAATATTCCATTAGATTGGGCTTTCACTTGTAAAACATGGAAATATAAAATAAATATAGACAGCAAGTAGGGAGCCTTAAAAGGAAAACAATAAATATAATTTTGTCTATTGCTTTGCTATTATGTTAACTTTGCCATCTTGTAAGTTGTTTGGAGTTAGATTTGTTATGGAAGAACGATGGTGATATTTTTTCACCTCTTCTTGGATGATTGATGAAGGGGATGAGCTGCTGTTTCCTCTCCCTTTTCCTCTTCTCTGGTTTGTTGTGGTGTTGACTAGAGAAGTGAAAGTGATAACTTTTTAGAGCTTCTCCTGTCTGTTTCTGGTTTCTCTTCTCCTTTTGTGTGGTAGTGTGGTTTCTTTTCCTACCTCGTCTCTTTGTGTATGTTTAGTGAAGGAAGAGAAAGAAGAGGAGGTGAAAAGAAGAAGAGTTCTATGGGGAAATGGAAGAGAAGAAGAAGAGCTGACCCTTCCTCTGTTTTTTGCAGAGTTTCCTTTGGATGAAGTAGAAGTGGCCAGGTTGAAGAAGAACAAGGAAGGAAAATGGATCGGCCCCTCTATTTCTTGTCCTTCTGTTCGTGAGGAAGAAGAAAGAAGAAAGGTAGTATTTTTTGTTCAGGGGGAGGAAGAATCAAGAAAGAATAAGAAGTGGCTACTCTGTTTTTGGCAGCTTTTTGCCGTCTGTGAATAAGGAAAGAGGAAGATGGAAGTCGATCCCTCTCCTTGCTTAGCCTCCAAGACCTCTATTTTATAATAGGATAGTTCACTGTAGCGCCATAGTAGGGTAGGCTTGTGTATTTTTCTGATTGGTTGAGTGTGATATGGGTTTGACCCAATTTAGGCTTGTTGACTTGCATTTACCAAAGTTGACTACGGTTTGGGCTTCTACTTGAGCCCAATTTCTTTTATCGTACAATGTAATAGTAAATTAATATTGTAATTATTATGAATTGTAATAATGATTTTAGTATTTAGCATTGTATTTATCTTAAAAAAATCGTCATGTCTTCTATTTTATTATTTAGAAATTGCGACCCAATTCTTACAAGACCTAATGTCTTACGAATCAATTAACTCGCATGACAATCAAACTGAAACCTAACTTATCTAAACATGTCAAATCATCACTAATAGAACGTGTCAACTGAGATTTGCTATTGCTGATCTCATCAACTTATGGCAAACAAAGACTCAATCCAAGTACTACAAATAAGGTCATTTAAGATTTGCTAAATTTTATTTGATTAAATATGTTTATAACCCGGACAAAAAGTGGTGTCTACAGGTACGTACCAAATAAATTTCACAATTAATCTACTTTGTCTTCATAGGATAGTATGCCCTAGAAGATGTTCCGACCCAAAATATCATCCGTACATTTTCATGCTATTCCCATTAAAGCGACTACTTACGTCATAGTTGTTTGTCCCTATACATATATCGACCTTGCGTCGGCAGGCGCTATAAACACCATGCATATCGACCTTGCGTCGGCAGGCGCTATAAACACCATGCACAATCGACCTTGCATCGGCAGGCGCTATAAATACCATGCACAATCGACCTTGCGTCGGCAGGCGCTATAAACACCATGCATATCGACCTTGCGTCGGCAGGCGCTATAAACACCATGCACAATCGACCTTGCGTCGGCAGGCGCTATAAATACCATGCACAATCGACCTTGCGTCGGCAGGCGCTATAAACACCATGCACAATCGACCTTGCGTCGGCAGGCGCTATAAACACCATGCAATATCGACCTTGCGTCGGCAGGCGCTATAAACACCATGCATAATCGACCTTGCGTCGGCAGGCGCTATAAATACCATGCATATCGACCTTGCGTTGGCAGGCGCTATAAACACCATGCATTATCGACCTTGCCTTGGCAGGCGCTATAAACACCATGCATATCGACCTTGCGTCGGCAGGCGCTATAAACACCATGCACAATCGACCTTGCGTCGGCAGGCGCTATAAACACCATGCATAATAAACTCGCGTCGCCAGGCGCTATAAACACCATGCCTATCAACTTCGCGTCGACAGGCGCTATAAAAACCATGCACAAAATATCACATCAATAAACACGTTCGACGTGTCCAGTTTGTTTCCCATCACCTCACAACTTGAATACATCATTGTTACCGAAACTCCAATTTGATTCCCATCATTCATCAATTCCAATCAAGACTTTTCTCATTCAACTTGTTTAGTCGATTCTTATCACAAACACGTTGCCAAATGGTCAAGTCGATTCCTATCACTCACATTTTCCCTATTCAACTCGTTCAATCGATTTCTGTCACAAACAACTTGAGTATGACGTTGTTACCAACTGGCTACTCGACCTGTCTCATTCAACTTGTTTAGTCGATTATCATCACAAACATGTCATCGAATGATCAAGTCGACTCCCATAAGTAACATGTTCCTACTTAACTTGTTCAGTAGATCTCTATCGCCTTCTACAGGATTTCGGCTCCTGGCATCATTACCAAGTTGTCTATGGTATTTCAAGTTCTAACTCTACTTTGTCTAAAGATGATCACGATTAGGGAAAAGGATTCAGGTGCCCATAACTCACACTTTGTATGCATCTTGTACCAACAAGCATACAAAGTGGGGGCAACTGTTGGCACCCATTTTTGTCCGGATTTTCCCAAAAGTAAATAGTGTTGTTCGAACCTAGTTTAAACACTTGAAATTCATCATCCCGTTACAATCCATTTCTATTACAACTTCGGGCTTCCAGCCAATCTGCCACAAAAATTCTATCTAAAAAAAAGAGAAACAGAACCCATCTTTTAAGCCTAGTAGCAGGCCAATTACCCAAACCCCCACCCGGTCGGTTAGACCATTTCAGTTCACTAGACCAGACCCGCTCCTCCTCTGCCCCTCCATCCGTGCCTCATTGCCTGCAAAAACAGAGATAAGAAATAAGCTCCATACTTGGTGAGTTGTACAAAACAGAGAATTCAATAGGAAGGGAAGAGAAATTGAATCTGAAAGATAGAAAAATTGAATGAGGAGATGGCGTTTAGGTTGCCATTGAAGAGGATATTGTAATACAATGATTTTTGGGTGCTATAAAAGGAGAGGAAAGCATCAAGGAACGAGGGGGGAGGGGAAATCGACTATGATCCAATCCCTGCTTGCAATTCCAATAGAGAAAACCAACCTCTGCCATTTCTTTCAGCCAACCAAAAAGCCAACAGAAATCACCAAAAGCCAATCCAAACACGTTTCCACCGAAACATTCACAGAAAACCAACTACAATTACCCAAAGCTTCGTTCAGCAATTAGAAAGATAAAAACAAAAAATTCATACCAGTGCAAGCAGCGCTGCTCCCACATCGCTTTGTTTCCCTCCGACAGTCACTTCCTTCGCCACAGCTGCTCCGCCGCGTCACCATCACTGCCAGAAGCCATCATTGCCGCTCGCCTCACCTCGTACCGTCGTTGATCCGAGTCCACCGCTGCTGTCGCAAGACATCCCTCACCGTCTATAGGCCTCCCTTGCGCAGCGCCTCTGCCCTCGTCGCCCGCCAGACAACCGCCTGACCTCCCTCGTCGCCGAACCGCCAGGCCGTCATTGCGCCACCCATCGTCGATCTCCTACGCCATTGCTCCACCTCATCACTGCGGCGGCGCCATGCTGGCTGTCTCGGGTCGAAGAAGAGAGAAGAAGGAGAGTGAAGGGCGGCCGTTGAGAGAAAAGAAAAGGGTGTGGAGATCTGAAGGTTGGGTAAGGTTTTTCATCTCTTAATTCTAAAATTACAAATCAATCCGGTAACCCTAGTTTATTTACAAAAATACCGCAGAAAAAATACATAATTGGTCCCCAATATCCTAAGTAATACGCAGGAACCAATCCTTATCTTCAAATCGCAAAACGTGAAAACAGGATGAGCGATTACCATCTAGCCTAGTAGTATATTTGATGTTTATTGCTACTAAACATACTTAATACAATTTCAAGGTTCCATCCGAATAAACTCACTCTAAGAGTAATTCCTTATTCTTTATTTTATTAGTATTTACAAATTTAAAGCAATTAAAGTTTATAAAATTCATCTTTTACCGATAAAAACTAAATTTAAAATTCGGAACGGATGCGTTCCTTAAATTATTTAACCGTATGATATTTCAATTCAATTCATCAAAATTGTTTTCAATCGAACTACGCGGACTTTGATCCCGAGATGTCGGGTACGTGGGCGGCCGAAAGGTTCATGTCCACACAACTCCGAAAATATTATTTTTATCAAATTATACGATCAAGTCGTTACCGATGGGTACACGATCAAATTGTCAACGAAACCATTTTAAACAAATTACGATCGATGGATCGTTTTCAAATCAATAAACTATTACGTACCAATGGGTACATGATTAACAATCATTTAATCTATCTCAAACAAATTACGATCGATGGATCGTCATCAAGCTAAGAAAACTATTACGTACCGATACTCATTTAAACATCTTCAAGCAAATTACGATCGATGGATCGTCATCAAATTAAACAACTATTACTACCTGATGGGAACGTAAGCAAATGTTTTAAAACAAGTAAACGCCAGGCGAACTACGAGGGCTTTGATCCCGAGATGTCGGGTACGTAGGCGGCCTACAGGTTCAAGTCCACTAATAAAATAAAACCTTTTTTCCATAAATCTCACCAAAAATATTAATTCTTTCTTCCAACGAAAATACATGTTGAAAGGGTGCTAAATCCAAATAATTTCAAACAAGCAAATATCAATCAAGAAGACAAATCAAACTTATAGTACCGATTTAGGGCGATGTAAGGGTCCTAATACCTTCCTTACTCGTAACCGACCCCCGAACCCATAAATCTATTTCGCAGACCGAGCCGAGCCTTAAATCTTAACCGATTTAAGCTTGACTTATCAAGTGTCCAATCCACTTTGAGATATTGGTGGCGACTCCTCTTTTTCGCGCCGCGTCGCGGACGGACCGTTTGCGACAAACACTGTCATTTTCTTATCCGCGGTGTTGTTCATACCTCTTGCGGCATCGTTTTCAACTAAATGACACCGTCCTAAATAATCATTAAAAATATTAATTAATTAAGCCGGCCATCACCGTTGACTTGCAGTCAAACTCCTGTGTTGACCAACGACATCGTTAGCGCCAAAACAGCTATGCTTGCTTTTCCTTTCACAACATTATTTTTTATTTTAAACATTTTCGTTTGCTAGTACAGCGGTACCGTTGGGCCAACTCGCGGTACCGTTGGGCCAACTCGTGGTACCGTTTTTAATTAAACCACACAGCCTAACATAATAATAAAAAAAATATACCAACATATTAAACTGCAGGGATTTTGCACGTTGGGCTGGGCGGATTTTGGGCCAATCACTCATCCGATATGGTTTTTAATTAATCGGCCTCGCCTATCAAGGCTCTCGCAGTATCGTTTTTAAATTCGCGGTATCATTTTACCCATCCGATGCCGCTTGTCTCCACGCGGTATCGCTTCTCCCCTTCCAACTAGGAATAAAAAAACTCATTTGCCAACAGCAACAGTAATCGTGCGGCCCATATCTCGCGACAATTGTTTTCCGGTAAACAATGTCGTTTCAAGTGCCACGGTACCGCTGAGCTTCCTTGCGGTATCGTTTTAACTCTCAGTGATGCCTCTCCACTCCAAACGACACCGTTTTTTATCCGCGGTATCGAAATTAAATCCCAGATTAATTAATGCGGCATTTAATTCAGGCAAAATTAATTTTAGGTGTCAACAAATGCCCCCCACAATTTGGTTTATAAGAATTATGAAGCAAATTGTTGACATAATTCTAAATACCTAAAATACTTCCAAAAGAATCAACCTAGTTTGCCAAGAAGAGCGGCTGAGATATTTTCTAGTATGGAAAAGTTTACTTACCATGGCCACTAGCATTCTCCTGATGTATGAAGGACTGTTCAGGCTGCTTCTACCCCCTCTGCGGCCGCGAAATCTCCACAACAACAACATTGTTTTTACTTGGCTCAAGGAGGATGACGTTTCAACAATGCTGGCTAATTTGTCATCAGGGCTGCTCCCCACATTGTACACCTCAAGCACTTGCCAATGATGTTTGCACGGAACGGCAGCGTTTATTAGCGCCTCCAAATCACCAACTGACTTGCTCACGTTCCTTTACAGGCTAGCACTAGAAAGTACAAAGTTGTTTCTGGGAAAACAACCAGGTTTGATGCCTTAAGCGGTGTCGATTTTTGCTAAACAACACCGCTTGATTCTACCAGCGACATCATTTTAATATTAACCGATGTCGTCATAACTCCATTGATAGACCATTAATTACACATGTTTTTACCCCTATTCTTGAGCCGTTTGAGATGTTGATTCTCGTGTTTTAAGCCGATTTCACGCTAGGTTGTGTATTTATGTCATATTTCAGGACTTAGCGTTGGCATCGAGGCGAAGAAACGAGTTTTGGGTCGAAAGGAGCGAAGTTGGGTCGAAGTGTGCTGCAGGAGGAAAATACCCGGTCATGGGCTCAAATACCCGACCGGGTATTACTTGGAGCAGACCAGGTATTTTTTGCTTTGGGCGTCGCTGAGAAGCAGAAGGGGGCCCGGGCAGGAAGCAAAAATCCCCAGTCGGGGATTCTTAGGCCAGACCGGGGATTTTCCCCTGACATTAAACGCGCGTTTTGAATATACCCGGTCGACACCCAAAATACCCGACCGGGTATTTCGACCGGGGATCGCGACAGGCAGCTTTTTAAGGGAAAAGAAGGCCAAAATAGAGGGGTTCCGAGTTTTAGAGAGACAGAGCGATTCCTAGAAAGAGAAAGAGACTCAGATGGAGAGGGTTTGGAGACCTTTAGTCGAGACTTCAGACTATTTAAGAACCTCCCGCAGTATAACCATCATAGAAACTGAACTTGGTAAATTGCAATCCGGCTTAACTGCAGTCTAGGGGGAACCATATCCGGGTGACCTCTCTCGACTTGAAAACAACCGTTTAACTTGCTTTATTTTTTTGTTAATTTGGACTTGCACTAAAGTTTCACCGCTAGATAATAAGAATTCACTGAGTAGTCATCACATCTAGGACCTGGGTTGACATTAAAACCCAAACCCGCTATACTACGCTTTAGGAAGTGGTTACACTTGGCTATTTTCTAAAGTGACAGTAGGAGTGATTCAATTTTTTGGCGCCATTGCCGGGGACGGCTAGGTTGTTGAAGAAAAGCGATTTCTGTTACTTTAGCATTTTCATTTTCGCATTGATTGTTTGTCCTTTCCCACTTGTGCCTTCATGGGTTTGCATTGCTTGACTGTGTGCAGATAGTGCATGACCCGTAGCCAGTCGGGAGGTTTACTACCGTTGGATCCAGAGCTTGAATGCACCTGCCACCAACTTAGGAGACAACAGCGAGCTAGACTAGCTACGGAAGAGCGCATAGACGGCCATTTGAGCAGCGAGTCCGAGGACGAGTACGTGATGGAAGGAGAACACAACCCACCCCCGGGGAATCCTCTCCAGGTTCCCCCGGTGAATCAGCTCTTGGGGAACAACCCCATACCCCAGGCAGATGGGGTTCATCATCATCCACCGCCACTGGGTCCCACCTTGGAGTACTACTACACTCCACGGATTGCTGACATCCGCCCGGTCATCCTCTATCCGCCCATTCCATCAAACAACTTCGAGATCAAGCCATGCTGGTAGCAACTCATTACATCCTCTATCCAGTTCCATGGCTTGAAGGACGAGGAGGCAAGGGTGCACCTGTCCCGTTTCCTGCAGCTGACGAACGGGTTCAAGGTGAACGGTGTCCCTGATGATGCAATCCGCCTTCACCTCTTCCCCCATTCTCTGGCGGGGCATGCTAAGAGGTGGTTGGAGACCCAGCCCCCATTGTCCATCACTTCTTGGGACGATCTGGCTGATAAGTTCGTGCATAGGTACTATCCGGCATCGAAGACTACAGAGATCGAGCGGGAGATCACTCACTTCCGCCAAGAGCCAGACGAGTCACTTCGTGATGCATGGGAGCGGTACATGAGATTTTTCTGGCAGTGTCCCCATCATGGCTTCAGTGATGCATTTACCGTGGGGAACTTCTACAGTGCCCTCTCTCTGGAAAGCCAGAGGGTGATTGAGTCTCTATGCCCAGGAGGGGATATTCTTACTAAGACTCCACCCGAACTGAACCAGATGATCAGTACATTGGCTGTCAGAGATCATTCCTAGGGGCAGAGCAGCAGAGGCAGGAATTCCCGGGATCGTGGTGTGCACGCCATGGAGGCCAGATCCGGACTAAAGCAGCAGGTGGCCGAGTTAGTGCAGACATTGAAGCAGCCCAACTAGGGGTGGGAATCGGTCGGTAAACGGTAAATTGGTTACCGAATTTACCGGTTTCGGTATACCGACACTGGCAAAACCGTTTACCGTTTACCGATACCGGTTTGCAACCGGTTTACCGATTACCGAATTACCGGTAAACGGTTGCAAACCGGTTTACCGAATTACCGCAATGGCGACGTAGGGGCGGGTTTTCGGTTCGGTTTACCGAAAATTTACCGAAACCGAATTCCTGTTAGTGGGGAATATGTTGTAATATTTTGATTTTTCTTAGTTTTTTTTCTTCATTTTTGTAATTAATAATTTATAACATTTTTTAGGCCTATACTTACTTACATTCATGTATCATTTGTAACTCTTATTTATAATATTTTTCTTCATGATGTATGTAATATTTG